TCTGTCTCTCCAAACTCCATGAGACACCCTCTCTTCAGTGGCTGTCAGGGATGTTTGAGGTCTGCTGTAAGCCTGGCCCAGAGAGCACAGCCCTGCAATGCCAAATGCACACTCCAAAAGTGAAGATTACAGGAGTTACAAGTGAATATTCAAATTTGGTCCCTGGCAAAGGGCTTATTAATCAGGAATGTGGCAAGAGGGGCAATAAAACTAGCTTTAACTTCCTTCTAAAGATAATACAGGAGGTATGGTCAAGTCTCAGCTAAAGCCAAGAGCATAATGGTGATTTTCACAGTCTAATAATAGAGCAATGTCTTCAGACTAGCTGTGTGTTTTTCTGTTGTTACCAGGTTATTTTCCCACAGAACTATTTTTACTTCACTTTAAGCACAGCTATCAATGGTGTTTTGAAGGAGATCCCAATTTTTATTTTTCAATTTTGCAGGAAGCTGTGTTTGATAAGAAGAAGGGAACAGTCTGCCTGAAAACATTCAATCTGTACAAAAAATTACTGACCTTGTCAAAAGGAGGCAATGAACAAGGTGAGAAAGCAGCATCTCTGGCAGAAAATGTGGTGAGCAGCAGAAGAAATGGATATGTGCCCATTTAATATCTTCTCTGGAGCTCTGTACTCAAATTAGTCACATCTGTTTCCAGATCTGCTTTGTTCCCTAGCAGCAGATGTAATGATGTGTCTCTCAGGGCCAAGTGCTTTTTTTCAGTGTGCTGAATGCATCTTGTTAATTATTTTAATCCAACACATTACACATTGCTTTCCATAGTAAGCTTTGCCATTCCTTTGGGATGTTGATGTGCAGGTTTCCCTTTCCCTTGGCTAGTCTGCTTGGCAGGTGGGACTGATGGAAGAACTTAAATATTGGAGGTTGAGATTTCCATAGTCTAATCTGGTTTTGGTGACAGGCAAATGCTTAGATACCATTAGCAGACAGGCATGTTCCATCCTGCAGGTAGGAACTGTGCAGCACATTCAGTGTGCTCAGCTTGATGTAGTGTCTGATGTCTTTTGGACTTCCTCTTGGAGTAACAGAAGCTGCAGTGTATTGTGTGACTTGGTTGGGACACTGTGAATCAGGAGTTCTCTTCCAAACTGATGAGGATCCTTTCCCGTGTCAGAGCTTTTATTCTAGCTGCTGCTCTAAATCAAACCAATTCTCAATAAACTTAGAAAACTGACAAAATTTCAAATGTCCTTAAGCTCAATTGGCTTTTAAGCAGTTCATTTTGGAGGTGGAAGACAAGAGATGTGGAGAGAAGGCTGTTTGATGTTTCTGTACCTCTCTTTAGGGTGTGTGTATACCTTGGGGAGCTGAGCACACCTCTTTCCTGAGAGGTTATTTGGTAATACCTGATTCAGGTACCATTAACATGGGGCTGCAAAGATCAGCAGTTAAATATTTCAGTAGTTGTTCGTTCTCACTAAACTTAACACTTGTTTACCTACAGAAAAATAGTTAAAACTGTCATTAAAGTCAGTGGGAAGCAGAAGTAATAATGAATGGGCCTTGGGGGTTGTCTGTCTTGTTCCTTAGGGCCTGGACCAGCTGTGTTACATCCTGTAGGTGTTTCTCTTGCCTGAGCAGCTCAGCAGCTGTCTCAGGTGCCCCAGAGCAGAGTGCCATCACCCAGGTGGCTAGCAGCAGTGCTGAGGGCTTGCAGTGATGCTGACAGACTCCTTTGTTTTCCACGTGCCTTTGCAGTGGTGGCTCTGCTGAACGAGATCCGAGACGTGAACGTGGAGGAGGAGACGGTGCGATACGTCGGGAAGGGTTACCTGGTGGTGCTGCGCTTTGTCACCGGCTTTTCACACCCCCTGACCCAGAGTGCAGTGTTGGGGTGCAAAAGGTGCAGTGGGGGCTTTGGAAATTGGAATGTGTAAGGTGGGAAATGCCAATCACGTGGGGCAGGAATTGCCAACTCTCGGGACTAAGCTCAGTGTTCAGACTTGCTGCTATGACCTTGCGTTACTCAGTTTAACAAACCTCTAGTGTTTTCAGGTGCAGATGTTTGGGTAACAGCATCTCCCATCAGGATCACACTGAGATAGAGATCCCCTCAGTGCTGTGTGTGCTGGAGTTCCCTTGGCTGGCTCAGCTGGGTGATGGCAGGGGGGGATGAGTTCTGTTTTGCAAACATTCAGTGTGTTAGTTAACAGAGGATTTCTTTTCAGCTTGATAATAAGGAATCTCGGAACAGGAGCTGAGGAAAGGATTGATCTGTTCTGATGTGGAATTGATAATAAGGAATCTCGCAGCAGGAGCTGGGGAAAGGATTGATCTGTTCTGATGTGGAAGTGATGGCTTGGTGTCAGTCCTGCTCTCTATGCCATATGACCTTCCCTCCAAGCAGTTACTGTCAGTAATTAGTGTGCCTGTTGTCTTGTCAGCACCACAGTTCCACTAACACTTCCCTTGTTTCTCCTTTTCCACAGTGATGTGGAGGCAGTTGCCAAACTCATTACTAGTTTTCTGGAACTGGACAGAGTAGAGAGCCCACAAGATCTCTCTCAGAGCAGCGAAAGTGATGCAGATGAAGCACAGGATAAATACTAAGAGTCCTCATGAGCCGAAGCAAACAGAGGCTGTCACACATCTGGAAACTCTTCTGATTGTCCTGCAGAACAAGAAATCCCTCACAGCCTTGACCTGGGCATTTCTCTACAGGTGCATTTACAATGGGAGAAATCTGTCTTAGGACACCTTGTTTACTGCTAAACTGCCTCAAGACCCACATTCCCAGTGTTGCTGTTGTAGAGTCCAAAGCAACTTCTGTTTCCTTTGCTCCTTTGCCTTAGTTCCTGCATGTGGACACTGCTGGCTTTTTGAACTTTGTCAGCTCATCAAGCTTGGCTAGGAATAGTTATTTATTAATGAATTGGTCAGAAATAATGTCTTGCTTTCCCCCTAATGAAGTGGAAATACAGATATAAATTTCCACTGGCTGCAAACCTCTGCTGCAGGTACAGTATGTGAAATGTAGAGGAGTTGAATTTGTAACTCATAACACAATGCTCTGAGGTTTGTCTTGAGATGTTAAAAATGACAATATATTGCTAAATCAGTTTTAAGCAGCTTAATATATGCAATTAGGAGGTGCAGAGTAGTGGCACTTCTATATTCTCTACTACTGACTTGCCATTAGATACCCCTAGAAATGAAAGTCTGAGTGCCTGTCTTGGAATCCAAAACACCAGGTAGATCAACCTCTAACATGCTCTTAACTTCTCTTGGACTCACCAAGGAACCATGAGTAGTGAAAAAAAAATGATCATGCTGATGATTCAGTTTCTTTGGGATGTTCTGGCTTTGCCCTGTTCTCCTTAACTTCTGGATATGAACTACCCCAGGGCAGAATAACCTTTTTCTAGACCTCAATGTTTACTGTTTAACTGTATTTAGAAAGGAAGCAGAACATTTCTTATTTGAGGTAGGGAAAAGACTGATGTCAAACAACATGGTAGCCTTGAGTTGTTTAGTATTTCCTCACTTGAAACGATACCCAAGTGCTAAGTAACAGTTTTTTAAGATAGTTGGGATAGGTTCCATGTTTGACTTGTACTGTGTGTTACTCCAGGTGTGTGGTGTCCTCTGTTCTGACCAATGACTTCACAAACAGTTAAAATATGAATTTTTCAAGGTATTTTTTGAAGCAAAAGCTACCTCTGTTAGTCAAGATATTCTGTCTAGAACTAAAACTTCATCATGCCTATATCAACATGTCAGTGCAAGAAAAACCTGCAAAGGGCTAAAAGTTCATTCACCATGCTAAAACTGCTTGTACTGCAGTTCACTAGGTTTTATTTAGGAATTGTAGGGTTTTAAGACCCAAATTAGAAAATATTTACACAGTTACTTCTAGGAGATCTGAGTAGGGTACGAGGTGACTGTTGTCTGCTTTCCTGTTTGGCCAGCAGCAAATGTATTCTGGCAGCAGTTCCTTCAGGACTTCAAAGCCTAATGTTGGTGTTTCAAATCCCTCTACAGCTACAGAGAGAAAGCTCTGAAAAGCTTTCAGCACAAGCTACACCCTGTTGTGTGTTCCAGCTACACCTGAAGCTGAGCACCTGCTTCTCTGCCCAAAGAACAGGTTGTACCAAGACTTCCCTTGCAGCCACTCACACCTGGTGTGTGAGCTGTGAGGCAAAGGCTTGTGCTGCCAGTTTGGAGGTGACCAGACTGGGGCAGGGAGATGGTTTTAAATAGGAAAAGAAACTTGCAACCACATCAGGTATGGAAGCAGATCTCAGCCAAGAGATGTGCCTGGCAAGTCCTCTGAGTTGGTGGGATAATCATGGGCTTTCAGTCCTTTCCACACACCACTGGAACTGGGAAGCTGCTGGGTGTAAATGTGGGAAAATTAGGTTGTAGGCAATTAGCTAAATGTGGCCTTTATTCTGAAGCACAGCTGTAAGCTGAGCAGAATCATCAAACCTGTTTGAAACAACATTGCAGGGTGTAACACTTGGGAGAGTTTCCCATTTATATCCACTGTAATCTATACCCCAGAGAAGGCTCATTTTAGAGAGAGGAGAATGAGATTGGGGATTTGGAGAACTCTTTTATTTCTCCCACAGTGTAAAATGAGAATGGTGACTGTTCTAAGGACTTCCAGTAAGGAATACTGGAAAAAAACAAACTCTAGAGTCTTTAGTGGTATAATGTAAGCACAAGGGCTCAGCCTGTGGGGGACTGTGGATAAATGCTGCTTTTGTAGCCAGGATTTTGAGAGGGCATTGCACTTAGAGTCTGATCACAAAACTACCTGCACTCAGTCTCAGCTATACTGGGTTTCATGAGAGCTGACATTCCATGGAAGATATAAACTATGCTGTGGTTTTCCAGTTAAAAATCAGCTTTCCAAAGGTGTGTCTGTTGGTCTAACCCTGCACTGCATCATGTGCTCTGCTTCTGCTGGGTGTGCATCCAGCTTGCTGTGTGTTCTTGGTGTTAGTCATGGATATACTTATGGACTATGCAATATCTTAGACAAGGATTAGAACAATGTAAGGAAAACTCACTCTCTAGAAAGGGGGATGACCTATAGTAAGGTACAATATAGCCTGACATACATCCTGTGGAGTAAGTCACATTGTGAGTTGATGTCCAATGGTCACCTCTCTGAAGGTGGTGTCCCACTCACAGCTCAGCATCCTGCTGTGGCAGGCAGGAGAGGGGTGGCTGCTGCCATGCCCTGTGTGTCTAGGAGGAGCACTTTGACTCCTCAGCCTTTCACTCAGAGCAGCTGGTGACATCCTTTTCGTGCCGTTTCCATTTGGCAGCTCTGACACTGTGCACACAAGTACAGTTTCAATGGGAACCTGAGTTTCCTGGTCTGAGCTAACAAGAAGGGGCCCTGAGTAGAGTCTCACATGCTGTGGGTGCTCTCTGGGTGTCTGTCAGGCACTGCTGGAGCTGCCTGTGACACTGACCTACCTGAGTGTCTGACCTTGGAATTGGACACTGCACGGATAGATATCACAGGCTGATGGGCATTTCTCTTGTATTAATTTACATTTTGAGCTTTCTGTCCTCAAAACCTTATCTTTGGTAGATGGAAAACATCACCAGATTTTCATGTTTTGTAGTAAGTGTGTGGGAAATGAACTTGCTGTTAACATGGATTTGGCTGTGGCAATGGCTGTGCACTCCTCAGCGATGTGGTGCAGCTTGAAGAGCTGCTGAGGACAGCAGGTGCTAACTCAGGATTGGTGCTGTTCTTCCCTCTCCCACCTGGTCCTCTCTGATCCACTTCTTTTGCCATTTTTCACTGTTTTGCTTAAGACTTTTTGGGATGGTTTTCCTCACTTCTCATGGGCCTAGCAAATGGAAAGGCCCAGTAAGCATAGCCTTATGTGTGCGTGATGTAAAGTGACTTGTGCTCACAGGAATGATATGGAAAACTAGTTTGGTTAGGAAGTTAGGTACTCCTAAAATGGTATTCCAGGAGCTGTGTTTGTTCCCTGTTTTGCATCTCAAGCCATCTAGTGATTTGTGCTCGGACAGCTGGAGTTTGTATGACTTATAAATTATTTACAAAGCTGCATAACAGGCCTTAGGTTAGATCTATTGCCTTACCCCATAAACCCAACCCTTTCTGTCCTTTACTAGAACTGTTTGCTAAGTGCCACTTGGCAGATGCTTCAGCTTGAGCAGCACATTGGAAGTTCCTCATGTGTGTGTTTGGGTGGGCTCGTGGCCTTGGCTGCAGCAGGGGGCACAAGGCAGAGTGCATGGTACAGAGGGAGAGCTGCAGTTTCTAAGGTGTCATCCCACATTCTGACATTTCACAGTGAGATACACCAGTAACGAGGATCAGTGGTGCAAGTCTCAAAGAAAATCAAACTGTTCAAAGTGTCTCACTGAGGTCTGACTTGTGCTGTGCCTATGAAGTTACACAGGTACCAAAACTCAGCTGGCTCACACAGCAAATGGAGTGCTGGTTCTGACACTGTCATAGATTGCTGAGAGGCAAAAATACTTGTGGAAATTGTTTAGAAACTGCTTTTTTTTTTTTTTTTTAACTTTACAATTACAAGTAGGATTTCAGCAAGGCCTTGTTATATTGTCTTTTTGAAAAAATCCGTGGATAAAACCAACTTGTTTTGTGTCACTGTAGTTTTTTGTATTGTTTTTAATTAAAATGATTAAAATATTAATGGCTGTCTAAATTACTGCTTGGCACAGACCTACTGAAGGAGTTAGTGGGGGAGGACATTTTTAACTTTACAATTACAAGTAGGATTTCAGCAAGGCCTTGTTATATTGTCTTTTTGAAAAAATCCGTGGATAAAACCAACTTGTTTTGTGTCACTGTAGTTTTTTGTATTGTTTTTAATTAAAATGATTAAAATATTAATGGCTGTCTAAATTACTGCTTGGCACAGACCTACTGAAGGAGTTAGTGGGGGAGGACAGGACAAACTCTTGCAGCAGTCCAGCTTTTACAGAAGCTGATAGATCTAACTCTCCACTGGGGAATATATTTCCATCTTCCCTCCTTTAGACCAAACCAACATCCTCCCTCCCCAACAAAGCACATTTCCACAAACATTTTCAGTATTAAAGGCTTTATTCAAGCAAAATAAATTCAGATTTTGTTTAGCTCAAGGTATGTAACTCTTGTAATTAAGTTATACATAGCAATTGATTCTTTTAAGATCAAAATCTATGTATGGAGCTAATCATTGAGGTTCTTGTTGAATAATGTAAAGTTTGTCTCATCTGAACGTGTACTTTCTGTATCTAGAGATTGTGCCAAGAAAATTTCAATACCTGTGCTTCCAAAATAAAAGCTTTAAAGAGGGAATAAATGAAGCACACAAGGAAATATTCTGAATATTCATGGTGAAGCAGCATATTTCACCACCAGCCTTTGGAATTCTTCCCACTGTGGTGATTATCTTAATGCTCCAGGTAAGTCCACAAAATACATTGTTATATGTTAGGAAAAGTTTGATATTAAAGGAGAATAAACCAGGATTGTTTTCCTCATATTTAGTAACTTTAGTTTTGCCTCCAACTGGGACAAACCTGCAGTTTCAGGTGTCACATAG